CATGTTATCTCTCTAACGTTGTCACCACCGTCGACCACCACATATGGTGGTCGTTCGGTCTCAAATTTCATGGGTTGCTTCACCTCGACACCGTGAGTCCAAATCCTATCTCTATTTTGTCGGAACTTGCTCCGAAGTCCACGATTTTGAGATTGATAGCGAGGAAGCTGAAACATTTCAATCCAGATTCACAGGGTTTGAGATATTTTTCATTGAAATAACCACCATATTCGAACTCAGGAGGTTGAGATGAACCAACCCATGAAATTTGGGATCGAACAACCACCATTAACGACAGTGGACGATGGCCGGAATGAAAATGGCGTGGTGGCCGACAACATTTCTTGTGTCATGTCATAACACCGTTAAATAGTTAACGACAGAGTGAGCAAAATAATTTAATCAGTAAAGTTCAGTAAACAAACTAAAAAAAATGAAAATACAGTGAGCAAAATGGGGGAGAAAGAAAAGTATGGTGAGGAACGATGTAATTTACCTAAAAATATTTTAAACAAAGATCTATTAATTGGTTGAATGATCAAGAATACTTATATTATCTCATCTTAATTTGAATATTAATATTTATTTTTAAAACATAATTTTTTATTTGATAAAAAATATTTTAAATAAATATTCTTTTGTAATTTTTCTATACTATTTATAAGAAGAAGAAGAAAAATACCTTTTTTGATACCTTTTTCTATACTATTTTAAAACATACTTCTATGCTATCTTATATTTCTTCTGATCTTGTCCTACGTGAGTGGATTATAAGGTTCAATTATGTTTCGTGAGAGTGTATTCGTGTTGCAGATGAAATGACTAAGTTAACTTGATCTCTCCCATTTGGTTTTAACGTTTTTCATGATCCGTATAATCGGCGAGGCGCTCATTGGTGATTCTACGCAACAGTTGTTAGTTGTATGCCTCTAGTTGAGGCTTAGTCTGTTCTGTTTTGTTTCATTCTCATTAAAATAAAGCAAAAGCAAAAATCGAAAGGGCAAACTGATTGCAAAAAAATTAGAGAATTTCACTTCATATAACAAGACATAACAATGGAAGACCCGGAAGCAACACCAGAATTCGCGTTCCAATAACCTAAAATCATTTAAATGTTGGCTACGAACAAAATGCTCGAGCATCTAAAGTAGAAAAAACAAAATTATGGAATGAGAGAAACTGCTTAGTCGACTTCTTCAATCTTGGGGCCAGCACCGGTTCCAGCGGCTGGGACATCCTCATCCATGCCTGCACCAGCGCCTTGGTACATCTTTGCAATTATAGGGTTGCACATGCTCTCCAATTCCTTCATCTTCTCTTCAAATTCATCTGCTTCTGTAAGCTGGTTGCTGTCTAGCCATTGGATTGCCTGCTCAATTGCATCTTCAATCTTCTTCTTATCTTCAGCACCAAGTTTACCACCAATTTTCTCATCCTTCACTGTGTTCCTCGTGCTGTAGGCGTAGTTCTCCAATTTGTTCTTTGCCTCAACTTTCTTCTTGTGCTCTTCATCTTCAGACTTGTACTTCTCTGCTTCCTGAACCATTTTCTCGATTTCCTCCTTGGAAAGCCTTCCCTTGTCATTTGTAATGGTGATTTTGCTCTTCTGCCCGGTGGTTTTGTCCTCTGCAGACACATTCAATATACCATTTGCATCGATATCAAAGCACACAGTGATCTGTGGGACACCTCTTGGAGCTGGTGGGATGCCCGAGGGCTCAAATTTACCGAGCAAGTTGTTATCTCTGGTCCTTGTTCTCTCACCTCCGTACACCTGGATCAACACACCGGGCTGGTTGTCGGAGTATGTAGAGAAGACTTGCTCCTTCTTGGTGGGAATGGTGGTGTTCCTCGGAATCAAAACAGTCATCACTTCACCAGCAGTTTCCAAACCGAGAGAAAGAGGGGTGACATCCAAGAGAAAGATATCCTGCACCTTCTCGTTACCCTTACCACTCAAGATAGCTGCTTGGACTGCGGCACCATAAGAAACAGCCTCGTCGGGGTTGATGCTCTTGCAGAGCTCCTTTCCATTGAAGAAATCTTGCAAAAGTTGCTGAACCTTGGGAATTCTAGTAGAACCACCAACAAGCACAACATCATGGACGCTGCTCTTGTCCATCTTGGCATCCCTCAAACACTTCTCAACTGGTTCCATACATTTTCTGAAGAGATCCATGTTAAGTTCCTCGAATCTAGCACGGGTGATGGTTGAGTAGAAGTCGATACCCTCATACAAGGAATCAATCTAAATGGTGGTTTGGGCAGTTGATGAGAGAGTTCTCTTTGCCCTCTCACAAGCGGTCCTCAACCTCCTAAGAGCTCTGGGGTTTCCACTGATGTCCTCCTTGTTTTTTCTCTTGAACTCCTGCACGAAATGGTTCACCATTCCTATTATCGAAATCTTCACCTCGGAGTTGAGTGTCTCCAGCAGTGGCCTTAACCTCAAAGATTCCCTCTTCAATAGTAAGAAGAGATACATAAAAAGTACCTCCACCAAGATCAAAGATCAAGACATTCTTTTCACCAACACTGGTAGCCTTCTTGTCAAGACTGTAAGCAATTGCAGCAGCCGTGGGCTCGTTAATAATGCGCATGACATTAAGACCAGCAATGACCCCAGCATCCTTAGTTGCCTGACGCTGAGAATCATTAAAGTATGCAGGGATAGTAACCACGGCATTCTTAATAGTAGAGCCAAGGTAAGCCTCGGCAATCTCACGCATCTTAATGAGGACCATAGATGAGATCTCCTCAGCTGCAAGTTGCTTTTCCTCACCTTTGTAGGAAACAACGATCACGGGCTTATCACCAGGGCCTGGAATGACCTTGAATGGCCACAATTTCATATCACTCTGAACAGCGGAATCGCTAAATCTACGACCAATCAACCTCTTTGCATCTTGAAATAACATAAATATTAGTTCACCCAAACCAAATTTCAAAGATGAAAAAATAAATAAAATATAACAACCTCAACACATTATGATATAAATCATGAATATCCAATAATAATTTCACATATCGGAATTAGTTACAAAAGTTCAAGCGCCATCAACATACGAGAACTAAACTTCAATGGAGTCAGATTCAGATCTGAACGAGAATCTAAGGTCCAGCAACAACGATTCATCATTAAATCTCTCGCAATCTTAGTAAAGTTCAGATCTAACTTCTTACTTTATAAAAATTGATCTTATCATAGATCTAAGATAAACTAAAGAGATCCAAACACCATCGAAATACGAGATCTAATAAAACACGTCTTAACTGAAAGATAAAAAAAGGAAAACAGAGCTAAAGCTTACCAAAGATGGTGTTCAAGGGGTTCATGGCGACCTGATTCTTTGCCGCGTCACCGATCAAACTCTCACCGTCGGTAAAGCCAACATAAGACGGCGTCGTTCTGTTACCTTGATCGTTGGCTACTATCTCAACACGATCATGTTGCCAAACGCCAACGCAAGAGTAAGTGGTTCCGAGATTGATTCCAATCGCTGGACCTTCACCTTTACCGGAAATTATTACTATTCTCTTCTATTTGTTGTGTAAACGGAAATTAAAAGAAGCTATGGGGGGAAACGAATAAAAGAGGAAAAGAAGAACTATGGTTTCAGCTTTCAAGTTAAGTAGCGCGGGAAAAGTAGTTGATTTATATAGAGATTTTCTAAGTTCGTTTTTAGAATGTTCTAATGACCGGAGTCTATGAACCGCCCGATCTTTGGAAATTACCTGATGGTTTCAGAGTTTTTAAACCTCCATTAAAATATTGCCACGTCGGCAAAAGGGTATTTGATATTGGTGGGATTTATTAACGGTATGTGTCATGTAAAATAACTCAGAAAATTCCCAACTCACCTATTAAAATTAGACAAGTATTTAAGAATAGGAAGTACAATCAAAAATATAATTGACGAAATATTTTTTCTTTGAATTTAATCGACATTAAGTGTGTTTTTAGCTCACACATTTACTGATCGGATCCTTTTTGTGCAATACAAACAAAGATTCATTCGATAATTTTGGTGTTTATCTCGTCAAATTCTTATTAAAGTGATGATGTTATAAAATTCGTTCCATATATTTATTAATGCACTGAAGAAAAATGGGGTATTGGAACAAAATGATCTCTACTGGAGATCAACTTTATGTAAATCAGTAATTTCTGCTGCAAATTTGGATAAAAGTGCACTAATAGAACATTGGTACAATCATTTCACAGGCTCAAATCCAATGCCGAATGTTAAATTTGCTCTTAACTTCAATCATTAGCTACTTCTTTTCAAACCGAATGTCCCCTTTGGAGCCTAATTTATGGTTCCTGCCTTCTCATTGCAGTTGCTACAGCAAGTTCACGAACAAAATTGGCTCTTTACTGAAATGGTTATCATGTCCATAGCAGAGCTTAAGTAGTGTTGCAAATGATCTCGAGTCGAGAAAAACACCAAATGCAGATGCCCCACAGGATTGATGCCTAAACAAAACAACATCAAGAAGGTTAGGAAGCCTGATCTTCACCGTACAATGAGAGTCACCACTAAGATATACGCCAAAGAAACTGTAAAAGAATACACGCAAAGAATACAACTCCTGACAACACTTGTCCACCACTTGCTATCTATCCATAAGGCAGGCGAGACCTAGATCCTCATATACAAAAAGCAATACCTCATCTCAAGTACTATCATCATAATCCGAAAACTAGATAAAGAGAAAAATAAAGTGAATAAGCGAACCATGCCTCCCGAGATCTATGCGTAGACCTCTAAAGGAGGATTCTGTTCTTCATGAACCATCAGTTCCCTTAAGGCTATGCTCGAAACAGCACAAACCCTGATCAACCGAACTTAATTACAATGCTAACCGTGCTTTGACATTAGCTCCATTCTAACACAGTGCTGCCTCAAGGTGCACCCTATGTTAAAAGCAGTTCCCAGGTAATGCACTCGAGATTTCATGCATGCAAAGCAAAAATGAAAAATGGATGTAAATCCAAGTCAAAGCAACACATTAGCAATGCAATAACATTTATAGCAATGTCTTGTTGAAAGAATTTAAAAACATTGATCTGTCTTCATTTCTGAAACAACTCAGTCTGGAAAAAACAATCTAAATATCCATCGCAGACACTTAAGAGAGTGCAAAACCCTCAGTTGCTTTCGAATTTTGGGTCAGCCATCACGAAATGATACGCAATAACAAGCACGAAAATGAAGATTCCAAGGAAATTAGCAAAGAAGCCGAGATCTTGATCGTCAATCATCTGAAACATTACAAGCAACAACAAAAGCACAAATCAGAAAGTTCGACTCTTTCCTCTATCCTTATTCCTTAACCTGATGCTTATTTCATCTAACCACAAACCGTATAGGCAAATCAGCAAAGCCAATTAAACAAGGACTTATTCGCAGAAAAAGCGTCCTAAATTAATCACAATAATCGATTTAATGGGAAACACAGAAAACACTATGAAACTAAAATCTCTTAAGAAGAAGATTGAAATTAAAAACTGACAAGAAAATGCAATTAAAAAACGTCTCCGTTATGAAATAAACCGAAATTTGACGATCTTAATCGCCTCAAATCGTTCATTAAGAATCGGAAATTAAAAAAATAAAGATATAGAAAATTGGAGAAATGGGAATTATGTTATAACATTTGAGAAAAATAACGAAATATTAGTAGTTAAAAAATAATACATATTAATGATAAATTTTAATTCTCTTACCTTGATAGCTTTTGAGCAATGGGAATGCTATCCCAAGAAATCCGAACCGATTTTTTATCAGAGCTCGGGAATTAGTAGCAGCCTTGGTCGAGAGTCTGCTTTTAAACAATGTCGTTTTGAAACATGCTTATTTGTAGAATAACTAAAACTAAATTTGGAGAAATAAGGGAAACGTAAGAAAGAAAAATGTGGCTGCTGGGATTCGAGCCCAGGTCTCCACGGCCACAACGTGGAATTCTTACCACTAAACTACAGCCACAGGTTGTTAACTTATTCAAAACAACTTATATAATATTTTATGTAGGTCTCGGAATAGCTTTTCATCTAAATATTTTGAAAATTATGTGGCTGCTTCGTTTTTTTCTTCTTGTTTTTGTGAATTTTCTTTATCTTGCTTACTCAAGGTGTCAGTTTTATTAAGTTTATCTATTTTATTTTTGTCTTCTCCATGTACCTTCAATTAGTGAAATTGATCATGATCTCTGCTTGGAGCAGTGAATTCAGAAATTTTTTAGGGACTAAAGTTATAATTTTATTATAACTCATAATAAATAGTTAATTGCATTAAGTGTCCTCACAGTATGACTCTCATTTTAAATTGATCTCTAAACTTTTAAATGTTCCAATTTCATCTGTAAACTATGACTATCATTCTAAACTTTTCCTCAAACTTTTGAACGTTTTCAATTCCATCTCCAAACTATGACCTGCATTCTAAATTGGTCCTATAACTTTTTGAACATTCCAATTCCATGCCCAAATTCATCCAAATATGTAATTAGTTTCAACCATAGTTTAACTTAAATTTAGTTTTTTGAAAATATAATAATCTAACAATTTTATTAACAATGGATGTGATTAGTATATACGCATTATTTGAGATGAAATTGAAATGTTTAAAAAGTTTGGGAACCAATTTAGAATGTAGGTCATAGTTTAGGGATGAAACTGAAAACAATAATTCATACTTTAGTGATCATTGATATAATTCACCCTAAGTTTTATTCGACATGATTATTTTTCTAATATATAATGTATCATTTTTCTTTTATATATAGCATCATCCTCACATTTGATAATAAATAATGAGATATATATATATATATTTTGATATTTGAGGTTTAAATTGTTAAATTTTATATTTAATTTTTGTCTAATGATATACTTAAATTTGATTTGTTAATTTATATTGATGTTTAAGTTTAATTTTTTAATTGAAATTAATATTTAAATTTAATTTTTTTAATCCAAATTGATATGGCTTTTTTTAAATTTAAATTACTCATAAATTTAATTTTAATCTAAAATGATATTTACAATAAATAATTTATTCAAACATAAAATAAAAGAAAAAAGAACTCAAGTTAAGTCCTGGTTCTTTTCGTGCATCTGCAGTTTACTGTAAGAAAAAGAAAAAGAAAGCATAAAAACTTCAATGGTTGAGATTTTAAGCAGCAGTAGATTCGTGTTAAACGACAAAGCATCCTACTCTTCCTTTTCCTCCTTCTCAATGTCTCCCCAACAACACAAAATGTATCCGACAAATTAGGTTTTGTCCCAATTTAAACAAAATTTTTTCCATTTACTTGGAACTCAGTAAAGAACAAGGGCTATCCTACTCTTCAGATCTCTTCTTCTTCTTCTTCTTCCCTTTTATTCAAAATAAATTGTTACAGCCATGTCTGCAGGGGTTTGTGGGAAAAGGGTCGGATTTGAAGAAATATTCGGATCCTCCCCCAAGAGATTCAGATGTTCCAACTTCGAATCTCCGAATTCATCGTCGGATCCTGAGGTTCATTTCATTTTTCTTTTCTTTTTTATATATAATCTTTCCTTATTTGCTTTTAATTTTAATATTGATACATGTTTCCTGAGGTTCATCTCCGAAATTAGATTTTGTTTAAAACCTTAATCACTTCTTAATCTTGTTTTATGATTCTGTGTTTAGTTAAGAACATCCGTTGTCTTAAACCACAACAATAAGAAGGAAGATTTTAAGGAGAGTTTGAATGCATTTTCTTCGGATCTCGAAGAACCAAGTAAACAACATAGTTTTGATTCTGTGAGAACTGAAAATTGTACTCATGAGACTGCTACATGTAAGTTGTTTGATTAATTTATTCTTGCTCAGTTGCTCTTGGTTTGGTTTATCATTTGGAATTTATGGTGAAATCCCTGCTTTTGTATATATCAGGTAGCCAAACCTCAGACCGCGATGTCGAGTATAACGGAGACACCGTCGATGGTCCCGAGTGGACGGATTTGTTTGTGCAAGATGGCGAGTGCGACGAATATGGACGACGCTAAGGCCCGTGCTGCCAGAATTCTTGAAGCATTTGAGGGAAGTGTTGTTGCCAAGAAAAGGGCTGTTGCAGAGGTAATCTAGAAAAATGTTTAATTTGTCATCAAGCTTTCTTCCAAGAACCAACTTGTTTGTTGCCTCGCTCCCGTCATCTATATCTGATCCCTTTTTCTGCTATAAATGATCACGAAGCAGATTGAGCATGCTTCTTTGAAGGAACATTTGCAGAGCTTGTTAGATAACAATCAAATTCTGAGGAGAGCTGTCGCCATTCAGCATGAACGCAATGTCGAACAAGAAGGGAAGGAAAGGGAAGCACAACACTTGAAGCTAATGCTCGACCAGTACGTCGAACAAGCTCGAACTTTAGAGGTATTCATCTTTGCAACCCCTGCATCTATTAACAGTTTCCATCCATGCATCAATGTGGAATTCATTGCAACTGCTTAAGATTTTAGCTGGTAAGATTGATAATAAAGCTTAGTATAACCTTGTTTCCGGGATGCAGATGAACAACTACACATTAAGGCTTCATCTTCGGAGAGCACAACAAAGTAGCTCGATTAATGGACAGTTTCCTCCAGACATTTACTAAAAGCTTCCGTCGTGTTAGCCTCACTTAATAGCTATGATTATGGTATTTTATGGTTTATGTAATGAAGATTTATAAAGTATTGTACTAATGTGTTGTTTGTATAATTCAAGCCGAAGTATCAGTTTCTACGCAATATTGCTAGTTTGAATCAATCGCTAGTTCTTTGTTTTCCTTTTTAGACAAGTGCATAGTTCCTTTTAAACAAATTCATTTTACAAAGAAGGACCAATGTGAAATGATTTATTAATTGGCTTACCATGCAAAATTGCAACAACTTATGCCTTGTTAGACTATCGAGTAAGTGTTTGTTAATATTTTGATAATGAATGTTAATAATTTATATATGTCAAGCTTAAACTTAAAATCTCTGATAACAATTATCTTTTAACCACTAAGGTCACTTAATTTTTGCTTCAAAAGTTGAAACTTAGATGTTGGCTTTTGTTAAAATTTAAGCTTAATATAACATTAAGTGCCTAAACTATTTTTCTGCAATTCAAGTGTCTAACGTTTCTAATGTTATATTTTTAGGTGTTTGGACCGTTATCACTATTAAATTATGTTGTTAAATGACACGTATCGCCTTTATGAGTTCCCGAAGGCAAACTTAGTTTTCTCTGCCTTTGAATCATTTTGTTTTTTGTTTCGACTTAGGTAAGTCTGGTATCCAACAAAAGAAAAGGGATGCACTTAATCATCTCTCCTGAGTCTCTGAGTCTTAAGCGATCTAGATCAGGTGAGTCTGCAATCTAACGTTTAGAAACTATCTTATCCATCGTCCCTAAAAGTTTTGTACACCTTCTCTTCTACCCTTTATTTTTTTCATAAGTTAGGTTATCTTTGCACTGACAAGGAGTGGTGCCTTCCCTTCGTTGGAGATTAATTTATGTGATGCCACTTCTCATCTAAACACTGATCAACTGAAGAATCATTTCAGTGAACTTTGCTCCCATTTTTTTACTGCAATTTACCAAATCTCTTTGATCTAAGCAAATGAAACCATTAATAGATTTTCTTTTCTGCTTTCTTGTTGGAATTATTATGGGGTCTGAATATCCTGGCATAAATTTATTTTCATCAACAATAGGTGGTTCATTCAACTGTTTGATTTATGTCTGTATGTTGCAGGCAGAGTTCTTTTACCTCCAATGGAATTTTGGCGCAATCAAATTCCAGTTTATGATCAGGTTTGGAATTCCATTTTGGCCTATATGTTGCTTTTCTTAACTTTGGTTCGCCACCAGCAGTTTGGGAATTTACTCTTTCCTTCTCTCGACCTCGAATATTTAGGATCGTAGAATCACTGGCATTATGGAAGGGGTGGATGACACTCAACTATCAGGTTTGTCGGAATATTTAATGCACGATAAGTTTTCCTTGGTTTCTCGAAGGAAATAAATGCATTCGAGTTGCTTTTCTATTTACTCAAAGTCATGGAAATGGCAGAATCGATCGACATAGTTCCGTTTTTATCTTTCTTTAACATCTGGCTGAGGAAACAGTGTTTCATCCAAGAATATTTTCTTCTCGTTAACTAACAAGATTTTGCAAATTGAATGTATATGTATGCTGCTAATCGTCTTGTCCCTACTTTTTATTATTAGGGAGTCGATCGAACCTGAAAAGGTGAAACCCTTGTCACGAGGCATAGACTTCAAACAGTTTGCTTGATATGCGCCTTACGTGCTTTGTTTCTTCCATATGACTATGAGATCCCATTGACTAGTTCATGTAAATATCCATATCCAACTCTCCATACAAAATGCATTATTTACATCCATCTACCATAAGTTCCAATCTTTGCTTGCTACTAGTGCTAGTAAGACTTCCACGGTTATAAGCATAGCCACTAGACTAAATGTTTTATCATTTTGATACAAGTCTTGAGCTACTAAAGGAGCTTTGTGCCTCGGCTAATCCACATATGTATGCCACTTTATCTTGTAAGCCCATTTACAAGAAATAAGCTTCACTTTATCTCTCTCCATTCCCACTTCTTAAACGCTTCTTTAAATTCCTATGTTATTTTGAATCTACAATCTACATTTTCTAGTATGTCGAAGTTGATATTTTAGGGTAAATTACATGTTTATTACCCAATTATTACTTTTGTTTTGTTTTGACTTTTTTTCTTCAAAATTATACTTAACGATATGTTTTAATTTCATTAATCTTGCACGCTTTATCTTGTAAAGCCATTAATCTTGCACGCCTGATCCTCCTCTCCTATTAGGAGTTCCCAAAATTGGATACATGTCCAACATAGAGTCAAACATACAATTCATCAATCATACATTAGTAAAGTATTATATCAATTTACAAACGGACATTAAAATCCTAATCTTTAAGACGTTAGCCTTTGATGATCCAAAGCCCTAAAAATCATAGGAAAAAAAACATCATTAAATTTAGAATCATTTCTATTACAACTTCAAATCTCTAAATACACAAACCTTCAAAGGAGTTTATCTAACTAAAACATAAATATTCAAAAGTTAATAAAATTAATACAAAAAAAGGATCATGAGTTTACTAAATATGAGCTTGGATTAAAATCTATTGGCTAGATTGTAAAGAATTTAATTGTGGAAGTATGGATGTTTAAAGGATATTCATCCATGGTGGAATTCTAGCTTGAAGATGATGAATACATTCTCTCTCCCTTAATGCTTGCCGTGAGCTTACCACGAAATGTTGGTGAAAATTGCCATATTTTCTAATTTAGAAAATGGCCAAAATTCCACTTTTGTGACACATAGGCAATGACTCACCATTCAAAGAAATTTTGGTGCATTAAATTCGTAGTCCTTAATCTTACATGTACATGAACGAATCACACAACTTTACTTACACTTTAAATCAATGATTTTCACATTCTTTGCATTTTAATCCTTAATCACAAAATTTCAAAATTATTTATAATTGATTCAAAATTATTCTGAATTTAATCTTAATATTTTAAAAACTTATTTCGAATACAGAAATTATTTTAAGGAGACATTTGGTCGTGGATACCTCCACCCTTGTGGGTTCTGTGAGGAACATCCAATCGGCTTATCAATGATAAGTACGAGATTATGAGAATTCGTTCCAAAACCTTTACCAAAAGCTCGACTTTCTAACTCAACATCCATATTGTCATAAGCTTTCAAGCCTGAACAAGCGTGCCTACAACCTTCCCCTCGCTCTCCCCTAAGGACGATCGTAGAAGTTTATATCAGAGGTAGAAACTTAAGTTGTATTAAAAAATTTAGAGTGTGTGAAGTTATAAAATTTTAGGGGATATAAAATTAGACAATTAATAAAAAAATAAAAAATCTAAAATATAAGGAAATTTAAAAATTTTAGAGGATGCCACTGCACCCCGAGAACCCCTCGGTCCATCCTGCTCTACCCACCCTTCCTGTCACCAAGGCAATCTGTTTTAAATTTTGTATATATATGTATATCAGTTGCTGCTTTAAATTGTGTATGATAAAGTGATGATTGATCTGTTTTGGAACACAAACCAGATTGGGCTTTGCCAATTGTGGGTGGCACCAGATAAGAGAGGAACACAAAGCATTCTCGTAGGCCATCGAGGAGGCTGCTCAGAAGGGTGTCTGGCTTGTTGTATTGGCTGAGTTTTTTTAGAGATGAATAATATCATAATCGAATTTTAATTATTAAGTTAAATGAATAAAATCACATTCCTCAGACTTTATTTATAAATAAAAAATAAAACTAAATTCCTCAAATTTAAAGCAAAAAAAAAGGCAAGTTCCAAAATGTAGTCATTTCAAATGTAGTCAGATTTTATCTATAAAAAGCAAAAATTAGTGACCTAAACAATTACGTATCTTAATACCAAATTTACTACATAATCAATGTTAAATTCAAGAATTCAGAGTTCTAACGGGGCATCAACGAGCAAGTGATGAATGTACCTACATGATGATCGAATAAAATGCAGGAATTGTGCGAAAGAAGAGTTATTGATTCCCTAACATGTATGTAATGTCAAAAATCCAACGACTTGGACAACATGAAAGCACAACCTGGAACGCTCCAAAACAAATATGGCAAGGAAGGGCCAATATTTAAAGTACTTATAAATGAAATGAAGTGCTGCATATCCCCTATCAAACAGTTGCATATTAGCTTGAAGAGAATACATTACACAAAGACACCCAACTTTTAGGTTCTATAGAAACAAAACACATACCCAGAAGCACATGTTTATCTTGGAAAACTTGGAAATCGGCAATACTAATTATCCAAGTTCACCAGTCCACAACTTATAAACATTTCAATCAAGTAAAAGATAGCAGGAGGAAACCTCCGTTGCACAGCCTGAAAGATCGATATTTCAGTTAGCGCGGCTTTTGATGATATCAAGACCCATCTCAGTTGGATCTGTTGCTTGCAGTTCCACCTGAATTCCATCCAATTCTCTCTTGAATCTGTCTTTGGAGCTTGCGTATATCATCTTGTTCCTCACCCTTGATGTATCAGGAGACCTTCACAAGACAGCATGATAAGTGTGGACGGCAACAGAAGAATAAACCCGTCAGTAAAGGTAATTCAGGTGATCAAGAAACTTGAATTACCATGCAATGAAAAATATCCTGCTCTTTGGGACACCCTCTGGGGTTAGAAATTCAAAATCATACACGGCATATCGACATTCATCAGCTGGAAGACTGTTAGTAAAATCTTCATAGTTCTCAGTTGGCTCGCCAAGCTTCTCCACAATAACTTGTTTCTGCTTCTCCTCAATTTTGTAAACAATAAAGCGGTAGGTTCTTTTAGCCTTGAGCTCCAAAAACTTCAATTTGCAGTCATCGTGCACAGCCATTCCTGATGCGGCGTTGGCCTAAACTTACACAATATCACATGAAGAAAACATCAAATATATGAGGTAAGCCAATGTTTCATTATATAAATAGAATGCATCAGCAACATCTACTTTTATCCTGATAGAAAAAAAATCAAAATCAATTTAGGCCCCCTAAATAGTTTGATGGCTTCTCCCCTGGATATAGCAGCATTAATTCTTACACTACCTCAAGAACACGCAAAAATAAAATAAACAGGGGCTTGGCAATGAAGCGTGAATGTTAAAAAGCCAATGGCCAAGAAAAAGCAGTTGAAAACCCAAATTAA